TCATGATGGCGCTAGCTATCCCACGCTCCTTGGCGAAGCGAAACTGACAAAAAGCTCACCGTCAGGTGGCGTATTTAAGAAAATGGTGTATAGAATATTTTATAGTGATTTCTTATCTATCTTTTTATAAAGAGCCAGAAACAGAAGTTCTTGATGGTCAACATATCGAATATATTTGTATATAAAACTTGATTGACTTGGCGACAAAGCGTTCCTTATCGTAAAATTTTCAGAACCGATTCTCTAAAACAAATTTCACAAATCAAGTAATTTCGTAACGGGCATGGTGCAGAGGCCAAGTGGCGCCTTTTGCCACGTGTTTATTTTTTCACCGTTTTTGAGACATCACTCCGTATATATTCAGAAAAGCAAACAAAAATACGACCCAACTTCCACACTATTTTGACGTCAGTGGGATTCGCTGATTGATTCAGCAGCTTGACGATTTCTCAGAAGAGTGGCTCACACCGTGAAATGTCAGAACTAGAGTAAAGGTGTTACCAACATGTGTATCTCCCAGTCTCTAATATCTTGGTAGATAAAAAAGTGCTTAACAGCACCAGCGACTGGAATACTAATGCAATATATTTCATTCTACGGGGCGCTGCCGGATTAATGCAAGATAAATAACAAAGTTCGTGCCTATTTATCACAAGTGTCGTCAAAGCATTCGAGAATGCTTTAAGGTGCTTTTTTATACTGGCTTTTACTTTCTCTCTTGAAGTTGAAACATTTCATTGTATATAGCTATATCGTCCATCAGTCATGAGGGCTAAGATTCAGAGACAAGTTCTTTGGGCGCTTTAATAAACGGTGCCGAAATTTGCTATGCACCAAGCTTTGCCGATCTACTCACAAACGTATTTGGTAATATTGATATCGAAATACGTGCACAAGAAGTCCCAATACACATACTGATATACATTCGTATTTGTGTAACGAGATCTTTCAGAAATGCTAGTGCGAAAAGACGAAAAATCATTTAGGAATACAGATGCAGAAGTGTAGATACGAGAATACAAATACCATATTTCTTCTTTATTTATAGATTGCTGATAATAAAAAGATTCAGGATATTACAAAGATAACATCAAAAGTGTTTTCCTCACATTTAAATATGCAACTCACTCATATCGCTTGCATCACTATTAAACACCAATGTATCACACAAGTGTATACATTTGTTCTATATAAAGAACCTGATTATTCAGATGGCTATAACGCTGTCTGCTAACAGCAGCTTTTTAACTAGGCTGCCACTTGGACAACATCAGCGTGGTCTCAATGCAGACTTGCCAAATGATTAGCCACCCTATAATTATAGAAGTGTAGAACATGCCTTGAGAAACTGCAACTTTCATTTGCAGAGGCCGATAACACTGTTTCCGCGAGTATGCTGTCAACAGCGTTCCACGCTAACCACATAGGCAATGGTTTGGTTGAAGGAAAACAGTCGTAATTTTTCCTATGTCACTGACAGGAGGTGCATCTGCGTCTCCACGCACAAAAAAACGAGCATTTATACCCTCTGCCACCTCTTAGAAACCCGTCTCAGCTCATTTACAAGAAAGAAAATGTTACGAAATACCCATGGCCTTAAAAATATTGCGGTGTAATTTATACATCGTGAAAACATTTCACTACTGAGTTACAAACACATTTTTCAGCTGTATATTGATGCAGAATTAGTCAAATACTCAAAACCGTCTCTGATATGCTATCGTGATTATCTTGTATCGCGACGCTGGCTACTTTTGTAAAACGCCTGCAGCTGTCAAGAAATTCTGTTGGTTTGCTTAAAATCACCGGGAAGTGTTGTAAAAATACGCAGGGATGTAAAGCTACGTTCTGAATGCCTAGATAGGAATACAATCCATGACACTTTTGAACAATTCAATTTGTTCAGATATATACTCGCGAGCAAGTTTCCATGCTATATAATTATAAAAACAATTGATAATTTGTTCTGCAAAATGTCTTTTATGCCATGTTTTATTCCTATTCCACCCTTCCGCAGTAGAGTCTAGTCGGCCGGTCTGAGAACAGGCCAATCCACCCGTTCTAGCTTTTCTCCTCCTACAGAGTAGCAGCGAAATGACCCAGTGGTCCGAACACTCTCACGTGATTGCGACAGTAAAAAATGCTGAAGGAAGATTCGAAATCATGGAACCCTGTATTCTAGAGAAGTTGCACATCATAAATGAAAGTTGAAGTAACAAGCAATTTCCGCTTACATTTACTGCCGCGAGAACAATTGGTGACCATGAGCGATCATCGCTCGAAAAAGTCGTCTTTGATGCAAAATTTATTTAACATTCCAGTGTTATCACTAAGACTCGCACAGGCTTTCGAATGAACTTGTGTTCGTGTTCTCCGAGTAATCTTATCGAAATGACTTCAAACAATTCCAAAACATCCCTAGCATTGTGGCAAGGTGAGCACCTAACGTTAATAGTTCTTATATGCGAAGCATCTATCTATCTATCTATCTATCTATCTATCTATCTATCTATCTATCTATCTATCTATCTATCTATCTATCTATCTATCTATCTATCTATCTATCTATCTATGTATCTATCTAATAACAGAGAACAACCTCTTTTTGGTTTGGTCGCGGCACTGGCCTCCACCGGAGGCTCGATTGGGGCCGAGGTGGTCGCATTTTAGTGGAGGCCCAGTTCTTCAGGCCCGTGTACCGTGCGATGTGAGAGCGCTTTTAAAAAGTCTCGAGGATGAAGTTTTCTGGAGCCCTTTGTTATGGTGCACATAATAATTATGTAGGTGTTTTCAGAAGTATCACTCCTGGTATTTTCAAAATATTTCCTGCATATTCTTCGTTTGGGTTTTAAAGGTCACATAAAAACAACAACAAACATGCGAAAACTTCAGCAAATAAAAGGTAAAGTTTCAAAGCTTCCGCCATATGAAATCAAATTGTTTGCGCACAACAGCGGTGTTGCAGCGTCCCGAATTGTGCACGAGCAGAACAGCCCATGTCACTCAACGTGCGCAGGCTATAGAGGGAACTTTAACGCGCGCTGGAACGCTCTAAATATAATTCCGTGACCAAACTATGACCTAGATATTTTATTGAACAAGTGAATATATGACCGCATATCTTTCGCGGAGATGTCACATTTTGTCTGTTGTTAATCCTTTCTTGTGGCCGGGAAATTAGTGTTCGCCATCAGTTTACGTGCATTATATATGCCATATGAACATTATTCGTGGCGTCTGAAGTAACCTTGCGGCTACCGGAAGGCAACCTTTGTATGACATCTATGACGTCCTTTTTCCACTGCCACATATAGCATCAATTATGAATTTTACCTCTCCAAAGAACCTATTACACGTGCTCTGAAAACATATGCAAACAAGTACCATTCATACAGACCATCCCTGCCTCACTGGGCAAGCTTGGGTTGCGGGTCGGATAGTCTTTCAGCCAGACAATTGAAATCAGACAAACATCGACAAGACGCAGTTTGTTACCCTAGAATGTTACTGAAGCTTTTGCACTGTGTTACTTTTCCGGCAGCTGCGAGTCATTTCAGCATACTTGTGATGTCATATGTGTTCAAGCTGAGCGTGCGTTGCTTCTGACAGTCTTGTTTTTTTTCTGCTGTGTCACTTATTTTACATGAGTCATTTGATATTTCACCCTGAGGGCGACTTTTCTGCAGCGTACCATGAAGTATCCCGTACAGCTACAGAATCGAATAAGAGTTTATTCGATTTGTTATTAAACATTTTCGAATACTCTCACACCGGTACAAAATATCTAAAGAAAACACTGCGAATCAGAGGAAAAAAGAAAAGAGACAAGGAATCACAACGTACTGAACTTAAAAATACCGAGTAAAGAGCCCCGATTTCGAAGCTCTCCGAGATTACATTTTGTGGAACTTTTGTGAGTTTTTTGTGTTACAATTTGCGTCCACTTCCTTTTGCTCGCCTAGATCGGCATGCCGGTATTCTGTGTATAAGCAGTGCTGGGCAGGATGACCCCTGCTTCTCAGCAAGAAGATTTTGCTTCGAGCTTTCTTTACGGCGTTCATGAGAGGAAGCAAATTTGGAGTGTCAGAAAGCACAGATGATAAAACAGGGCCTCAAGAACTCACATGACGTCATAAACACGTGCGGTAATTGCAACGTTTTTCACAGAAATTCCACATGCCAACGCATCGGCGTTGCTACTCGGTCGACACTTCAACAGTGCAGCAAAAAGACCACCTTAATTGTCACGTTGTCTTCATGCCAACTGAAAACCGCACCTCCCGCAAACGTGCTCGAAATCAAAATTTCAGCACTCGATACGGGTGCCTTGTTCACGATGAACGAATGCATGTTGGTCTTTAATATATATGTGTCGAAAGACTCAATGCGCTTGCGTATACCACTGTTAAAGCGATGCATTTTGATATTTCGTATGCATTCATTCATTGTGAATCACACAGCCGTAGTGGTCACCGAAAATTTGATTCTGTTTTTTTTGAGCTTCATAAGTGTGCCTATTGCCTTGAAGACATGAAGTAGGTATGACAGCACTTTGCAACATATAAGATGAATTAGGGTGTAGTGGGTAATAAACAACTGTACAGTGCTCAGAAATTACAACAGGTCAAATCAGGGCTCATTATTGGGCATGTTTTTGTTGCCAGCATACAGACATTGTCATATCGACACAACTGTAGCTTAACGCTACATTTTTAGCAGCCTTACTTGCAGTGATACAACATTGATATGAGACATTTCTTGTGGCATGTAGCATGCAGGTATAGTTAAAAAACGATGTCATGTTGCGATTTTGACTAATACACATACAGCAACATCCCAGTGCCGTTTAAACAGATTCCATAAAAGGAAACTCACAAGATTACTCACAGTGCAGTATGTTCGGCACAGGCAGCTGCCTCTATTTTTGTAAACTCGAGTGCTTCGATTTTTCGCCCCACGATTTCTGAATCAATGTGAATGAAGTTCTCAAAACACATATATCATCATGCTTCATATTCTTTATTGACCAAAACAGTCCAATGACTACTGCAGCAGTCAAAAGAGTGAGGTATTTGTTCTAAACGCATAATCCTGCGATGCATACCTGAAAGAAAAAAGAGAAAGCAACAAAAGTATAATATCCGCTTGCAACCTATAACAAGCGTTGTGCCTTGCGCTTTTTGTTTTTGCGTCTACGCAGGTAAAAAAAAGAAAAGCAACATCGCTGAGCGTCGTATTTGCCTGCGTAGTCTGCATCTCAGTTTGGTTGAGCAAGATGTCTTCAGCAAGTGCTTCGCACAATGCCGAAGTACTGTGTATTGTTATACCAAAGGACCCAAGTCCACCTAACTGGGCTGCATAGCAGTAAACTAGTAAGCAGCGACATAGCGACTTCCTATTTAATAGCTAAATTGGCGTGTACGAAAGAAGCCCATTTGTTCGGGAGGAAATAATTTACCAGGAGGGATCCGAACACCTACCAACTTGATTTTAAAAGTAATGTTATTAACATTTCGGTCCTCGCGCTGGAGCCTTAATTGGTCGAAATTCGGAATATTGCTCCTGTTTGTGAACACAGTTTTAGATTTCCGAACATGGCTCCTCGGCGCGAACCGCAACATTGGCACACGTTCATTGCAATTCTTTTGGTTAACGTTCGGACATGTTCTTTAAGACAATAATGGCAACTGTAATTCTCGACACCTTCGCCGTGGTACACAGGACCTGGTTTAAAGATATCACGACACCACAAATCATGTCAGCAGTAGGCATCGCTGCATGGTCAAAAGGGCATAAAACACAAAGAATAATTTCTGGGGATGCTGTTAAAATGAATGCATTGATTGGGAAGAAAAATAGGGATGAGAGAAAGGGAATGGTATCGCATTCGTGTACTCTTAGGTAAATGTACCAGATATCACGGGATTGTTACTCTCTTACATTGTAAACTTCTCGAAAATGCGCCACTTTGTGTATAGACTTGACGAGAAGTTACTCGCTTTATTGAGCTGTCACTGTTTTGGTGGTTCGCGGGACTAGGCATGTATCACTTTCGGTTCTCCTTTGTAGCAGCACCAACGAAGATATCAGCTTTTACTGTGTCACTTGTATTGTATAACTGTGTCACTTGTATTTCAACGTTTACAGCATAAGTGATTCCGCGCAGAATTGCATACAATCATAATTCACGCAACTGTATAGAATGAAGCCATCTTTAAGTAGTTATGTACACAAAAGGCGTACTTAAAAAGAAAAGGTTGTGCAAAATGAAAGACACGTGTTCAAGGAAAGCCACGGAAACAAGTGCGAACTCACACTGCTCATTCACGAGCAGACGGCAGAACAGTTCAAAAAGCATCTTTTTCCTGCGGAACTTTTCACGTTATTGTATCTGTAGCACAATAGGCTCAGAACGACTTCTATGGAGGTATATTTCACTTCATGTTTCCCAATGCTTACAAATATAAAGGAGTTTTATGAGACTTAATGTTTCATACTCTTGGCTTCAGGCGTGTTGAATTGTTTGTGTGAGTAAAAAAATGTGATTTTTACTTTTTTGCTCCTAGTATGCTGTAGAAACCGCATGGCACTAGAAATCAAAGTTTACTGTGAGATTGATACTGTTGGAAATATGAGCAATATGAAAAGAAAAAAATTACCTTGCACACTTGATTTATCTTGCAATTCGTCCAATCAGGAGCGCTTGTTTCGAACGACGTCACTTGATTTGTCTCCGGTAGTTTAACGTAACAGCTCAATATGCACCCGTAAAGTACCTGGTTCAATAATGAGTACAACACTGTGAGGCAATTACCGTGCTATATCATGAGACAACACAATACCATGCTAAAATGCGTCATTTTCCTCGAAGAGGAAACTGAGGCGTTTCACCATATGCTTTGGGAGTGCTATATTGCAATTTATGCGGAAGATGATATTGACGCGTGTCTACATGTGGACGATAACGATGATGGGGCATTTAGTGGGCACGAGGTAGTAGGCCTCTAGCTTCTCTCGAGGCTGAAGAAGACGATCTTGTGACTGAGCTGTTGAGGACACGCTGCTTTCGTCGTCCCAATGTGTATCTGTGGTTTATTCGCGTTGTACCGCGACACTGGTGGAGGTCCTGGGCCACAACCCTGTCTGATGCTCCACACGCCCGCTGGGAGCCGCTCATTGAGTCCAAACGCATTGTCACCTGTAGAAACACCGGTGCATCGCTCCAGTCGACGGTTTCGAGGCCTCGCGCCAGAGCTGACTCACTCGCCGGAACCTGCCAGGCACCGCACACCTCAACCAATGGCCAACGCAAGCTCGCAACAGGTGCCCCAAGGCAGCTTTCCGACGCACCCATCTCAGGTGACCCTCTTTCAACCCCTCGTTCCCGATCGCTTTAGTGGCGGTGCCCATGAAGACGTTCACGACTGGCTTGATCACTATGAGCGTGTTGCCAAGGTAAATCAGTGGTCGGAACAGGAAAAGCTTTCATGCGCCTATTTCTACCTTGACGACGGTGCTCGTACTTGGTATGAGAATAGAGAAGGCAATCTGTCAGCTTGGCCCGACTTTTGACAGAAGTTCGTCGATACCTTCGCCAATATCGATAGAAGAGACCGTGCACAGGAGTTATTGGAGCTACGGGTTCAAAACCCCAACGAAATCGTTGCAATGTTTGCCGAGGACATGACTCGTCTCTTTCAACGAACTAACCCGCACATGACGGAAGATAAAAAGTTGAGTTACCTCATGCGCGGTGTCAAGGAACAGCTTTTTGCCGGGCTACTGCGCAACCCTCCGAGTACCGTGGTTGATTTCATTAAGGAGGCTACGGCTATCGAGCGGGCCCTTCATCAACGCTGCAGGCAATATGACCACATGTCTTGCAATGTCCCAATCAATGCTATCGCATGACGTCTGAGAGTCAGAACTGCTTGCGAGACTTGATTAGGGAGATAGTTCGCGAGGAACTGCAGAAGTTGCGGAATCCTGTTCCTGAAAATCCCATCGCGTCGATCACTGAAGTCGTACGCGATGAAATCCACCAAGCGTTGTCTACAGCTAGTCCTGATGCTCAGCAGCGTCCTATGAGATACGCTGCCACTCTCCGACGTCCACTACCCGCTATGCTGACGCTGTACCACCAGGTGCCGATGGCCCCTTCGTATCCGCCGCAAGAGCAGACACTGCATCAACCACCCACGCTACAGCCATACGACCAGCCATCCACAGCCACTCCATGGGCATCGACGCGTCTACCGAACCGGAAAACAGATGCATGGCGCACAGTGGACAGGCGTCCACTATGCTTTTCCTGCGGAGGTGTAGGACATATTGCCCGTCATTGCTGGCATCGAGGTGATTCATTCCGTCCTCAACGACCTTGGTTTGACGGTCGACGTGCCAACGACGACTACACTCCGCGCCGTGACGACACCTCTTTCTATGGAGCCCGTTATCAGTTTAAGGACGGCTCTGCCACTGCATAGAAGGCAATGCCTGCTCACCCTCCTGGTCCGAGACGTCAGTCCCGCTCTCCGTCCCCTGCGCGTTCGCCTTTGTCGCACCACCGCACCTATGCGGACCTTAATACAAGAAGGTCACCTAGCCCACGCCGGGGAAACTGAGAGCGGCGACCTCCGGGGGCAAGGTTGCAGGCCATAAAGATGACGACAAGAAGCCCCCACAGCTCGACGCCATACAGCCGATAATCCGTAACAACGATGAAATTGTGACTGCTCACCTTGGTGTTCTTCTCGACGGCCAGAAAGTGACAGCTTTAGTCGACACTGGTGCCGACTTCTCCATTATCAGTCAGGGCCTCGCCGACAGCCGCAGAAAAGTGAAGACGCCGTGGACGGGCCCTCATATAAGAACAGCAGGAGGCCAGTTATTGATGCCCTTGGGAAGATGTACCGCAAGAATTGACATGGGAGGTTCTCCTTTCACTGCGTCGTTCGTCGTTATCGCCGCATGCTGCAGAGACGTAATTCTTGGCATGGACTTTTTACGGGAATATGGTGCCGTCATCAACATACCAGAGAGCTTGATTACGTTTTGCAACAGTTCGGGCTTACCCCATTTCCCAGAGGCGCGACCAAACAAACTGTGTCTTACTGATGACGATGTGGTTCTCCCTCCGAGGTCATGCACGCTTGTTTCTGTGGCCGCCGCTGCTCAGTTTGACACCGAAGGAGTTGCGGACCGAATAAGCTCGCCGCTCTTCACCCACGGTATTTCTGTCGCACAAGGTATCGCCAGAGTTGCTGCTGGACGCACGGACTTGCTGCTGACCAATTTTAGTGCTGAGCGCCGGCATCTTCCTAAAGGCACGGCTGTCGCTTACTTCGACGATGTCGTAGATGCCGAAGGCTGCTTGGCGGTAGTCGACGGGTCGCTAAATCTTGATTCAGCGCCTGTTCTGGACGTTAGCATTACTTTGCCGAAAGACGACCGACGCAGACTCCTTGAGTTACTGGCCAAATTTCAAGGCTGCTTTTCGACAACATCAAGAGTTGGCCGCACGCCTCTAACCACGCATCGAATAATTACCGAGGAACCGGCGAGACCTATTCACCAGAACCCTTATCGCTTGGCTCTAAAAGAACGTGAAGCGATACAACAGCAGGTAGACAGAATGCTTGAAGATGACGTCATTCAGCCTTCACAGAGCCCCTGGGCGTCGCCTGTAGTCCTCGTTAGGAAAAAGGACGGCAGCCTGCGCTTCTGTGTGGATTACCGGAAGCTAAATCAGGTGACTAAGAAAGACGTATATCCACTACCGCGTATGGACGACTTTCTCGACAGACTTCGACATGCTCGATACTTCTCTTCAATGAACTTGCGGAGTGGATATTGGCAAATCGAGGTGGACTCAAGAGACCGCGAGAAGACCGCTTTTGTGACACCAGATGGGTTATACGAATATAAGGTCTTGCCACTCGGTTTGTGCTCAGCCCCTGCTACCTTTCAAATACTCATGGATACCGTGCTTTCTGGGTTGAAGTGGAAAACATGCTTAGTATATCTGGACGACGTCATATTGTTTTCCGCGACGTTTGACGAGCACCTTGAAAGACTTGACGTGGTCTTACGAGCCATACAGTCCGCGGGCCTGACGTTGAAGCCTGAGAAGTGCCACTTTTGCTACGAAGAGCTGTGATTTCTTGGTCATGTCGTCAGTCATGCTGGTATTCGTCCCGGTCCTGAAAAAATTGCAGCCGTAGTACAGTTCCCTATGCCGACCGATAAAAAGGCTGTCAGACGCTTTCTCGGCCTCTGCGCGTATTATCGACGATTTATCGCAGACTTCGCACGCATAGCATCACCACTAACTCGCCTCACAAGATAAGACTTCACCTTTGAGTGGAATAACTCAGAGGAAGCTGCTTTTAACGATCTTCGCCAGCGACTACAAACACCCCCCGTCCTTGCCCACTTCGACGAGAGAGCCCCTACGATGCTTCACACCAATGCTAGCAATGTTGGTCTGGGAGCTGTGCTTGTGCAGCAGCAAGAGGGTGCAGAAAGGGTAATCACTTACGCAAGCAGAACGTTAACACGTGCTGAGGCTAATTACTCCACGACTGAGAAGGAATGTCTCGCCGTGGTATGGGCGGTTACGAAATTCCGTCCGTATATATATGGCCGCCCCTTCAAAGTAATTAGCGACCACCATTCACTGTGTTGATTAACTAATCTTAAAGACCCTACCGGCCGATTAGCGCGTTGGAGTCTCAGGCTGCAGTAATTCGACATGGCAGTCGTACATAAGTCAGGAAAGCAACATATGGACGCTGACTGTTTGTCCCGTTCACCCATTGAGTCAGCAACCCTACCCGAGGAGGAGGAAACATCATTTCTCGGTGTCCTCGACACGACCACTATTGCGCAGCAACAACGAGACGACGCTGAGTTGCTTGGCTTAATTACCTACTTGGATGGCTGATCTCGGAAAGCACCAAGAGTTTTCGCAAAAGCGTTGTCATCATTTTGTTTACGTGGCGGAGTACTCTATAAAAGAAATTTTTCGTCGACGGGATCTGCCTATCTGCTCGTCATCCCAGCAGCCCTTCGCACCGAAGTACTGAAAGCATGCCACAGCGAGGTTACCTCTGGCCACTTGGGTTACACAAGAACGTAGGCCAGGGTACAGCAAAGGTATTACTGGCCAAGACTAACTACAGCCGTGAAGCACCACGTTCGTACCTGTCTCGACTGCCAGCGGCGCAAGTCACCGCCAACTAAACCAGCTGGCCTCCTGCAACCCGTACAGGTTCCAATGACTCCATTCCACCAGATCGGCATGGACATTTTGGGCCCACTCCCTACGTCTACTGCAGGCAACCGATGGGTTATCGTCGCGACGGATTATTTGACCCGTTATGCCGAGACAAAGGCTGTCCAGAGAGGTACAGCAGCGGAGGTGGCACGATTTTTTATCGAGAGTATTGTACTGAGGCATGGTGCACCAACCGCCGTAATCACAGACAGAGGAACCGCATTTACAGCAGCTCTTTTGGACCATGTTTTGATGCTGAGTGGAACAACGCATCGTAAGACCACCGCATACCACCCACAAACGAACGGGCTGACAGAGCGTCTAAACAAAGCCATTGAAGACATGCTTTCGATGTACGCTGACGTCGAACACAAAAATTGGGATACAATCTTGCCTTACATAACGTTTTCATACAACACGGCCAAGTGAGAAACGACCCGCATGACACCTTTCAGCCTCGTTCATGGACGGGAAGTACGAACCATGTTAGATGCAATG